TAAAATTTCTCATGAAAAATATGTACTATAATCATAAATGCAAATTAACAAAATGATTGATTTATCATAGAATTCAACATGATAACACAATTAGAACTAAGCTTAATGAAAACGTTGATAGACTCCAATGCTCAAAACTACAAAATATAGGTAAATCAAATCTCAGAAGACACAAATGGAAAGAAATTTCAAATTTGTGGATTAGAAGTTCTGGTATGGTTCAAATTCCTATATTAAAATAATTGATAGTTTCAATGCAAAGTGCACCCAAATGCCATTTGCATTTCTACATGAAGATAAAAATTATTAAATTCATAGAGAACTACAAAAGACACCAGTAGCTAAATAAATCTAGAGAAAAATTAAACTATAGGGATCCTCTTCCTGTATTTAAATCACATTGCTAAGATACAGAAATTGAGAGCATTATGCTTTCATAAAAACGAATGGTTGGGTAATTGAGAAGATTCTCACATCATGAATCATCAGGAAATGAAAGCCAACACAATAATGAACTCTCATCATAATCCTTTTAGGATGGCTATAATAAATACTAAAAGACACATTTGCAAGGATATGATGGCATCGAAACATTTGCACATTCTCAGTGGGAAAGTGTGGCAGTATAGTTATGGAGAACATCATTATGAAAAATCCCAGAGAATTGAAAATAAACTATCATATGACTTACCAATCATATTTCTAGGTTTCATTCAAATGGATGTAAAGCAGGAAGTTGGGGAGGCAGCTTCACTCTTATATTCACTGTAGCATTATTCAAAACAGCCATGCATACATGGAAACAATTGAAATGTCCACCAAAGGAGGATTGGATACAGAAAATGTAATGTGTACTCAAAGGAATTTTACTCAGCTTTTAAAAAACTGAAATGCTGCCGCATGCAATAACATTCATGATATAGTATTGTAGGTGTAAAAACAGACAAACTGTATGGTTCCAACCGTATGAAGTATTTAAACTATCCAAACTTATAGACATGTAAAAAAAATACTTTAGGGGCAAGGGAGATAGCTCAGTAAAATAAGTGCTTCCCTGGCAAGCGCAAGGGCCTGAGTTCAATCTCCAGTTCCACAAAAAAAAAAAAAAAAAAAAAAAAAAAAACCAGATAGATGTAGATTTGAATGCTGGTTACCAAAGTCTTGATGGATACGTAAGAAGATACTTGTTTTATTATAGAAATTAATTTTCAGTTGTACAAGATGAATTCTAGATGTTTTCTTTTCAAAATATTGCCTGTGTTAAGACATACTGTCTTGTGCTTAAAAGATCAAAGAGAACAGATCTGTTTTTTGTTTGGTTGTTTTGCTTTGGTTTTTGAGAGAGGGTCTCACTTTGTAGTTTAGGCTGATCTCAAACTCACTGGGTAACCTATTCAAGCTTTGAACTATTAGCCCGTCCTGACAATCTTCCTACCTCTCAGCCTCCCTTGTGTTGGGACAGCAGGCATGCACACCCACACTCGGTTTTCTTTTTTGTTTCAATATTTTAAACAAAACAAAATAATCAAAGTCAATGTTGTGTTATGGAAGTCCTACTTAGCAATTTTGCCTAATGTAACCAATAAAATGTGTTACTTTCAATATTTTAAATATCTGTCTGTGGGTCTATCTCTCTGTTTATCTATCTGTCTGTCTGTCTGTCTGTCTGTCTGTCTGTCTGTCTATTTCAACAACTGGTTAGTATCTATATAATTAGAGCATTAATTTGTCTTGTAAAAAACTGACTTAAAAGGAGGCAAATTTTATGCAAATAATTTTGTTAGAATGGTGATCATAGTTTTACTAAATAGTAAAACTCATACTTGGTGAATCTTGAAAACGTAATTGTCCAATCAATTGCAAAATCAAGATAAAACATATTTTTCTTATTAAAAATGTATTTTTATATTAATTTTAATGAGAAAGAAGTAGCAGTGAGACAGTTTCAAGACAGGTTAGTAGGACAGTTACAATAATTAACATATTGCATATTGTTGTCTCTGTAGCAGTTATTCATAGTACAAGATGCAGACATGATATCTTGTCTAAACAATATTAGTTCAAAACTTTCTTCTCATTGAACTAAAAGAAAGTAGCTGTATACCTATGCTATTTTGTATATACAGACATATTTATTTTTTCACTACAAAATGGTCCTTCATTTACATCCCTCTTTTTTGTTTACTTTTTTCAGAGATAAGTATTCCATTGCCATTTATATATTGTAGATGCATGAATTCAGCAAAGTAATCCAATATAGTCCAGTAGTCCATAATAGCAGTGGGTTATCTGCATGACTGGCAACATCAGAAGTTGTTCACTTGAGTCTCTTACAGTTCAGCATATTAATATGGCTTTAATTTTTATACCTGATTTTTATACTTTTCTGCTGGATGATTATTTTAAAAATTTAAAAGCTTATTTTACGACATTTTAAATTCAATACCATCCCTTCACCCTCAACCTACTGATCAGATTTTTGTCTCTATGGTTTAGTTTTCCAGAATGACATAGATGGAATTATATGTTATTTTATGTTTATGAAGCCATTTTATATGTTTCTTTCCCTTATTATGCACTTCTTAAGATTCATTCCTCTTTTGTACTAATCCATAGATCATTTCATTGTGTGAACTTATCTTGGATTTTCCAGAATTAACTCACAGTTTGCACTATTGATGTTCCTGTTAAATATTTTATTTGTTTTTCTAAGTCATGCAATGCTACTCCTCTGAGATATTTTCTCTTCAGCTTTCAGTTAAAGTAGACATCATGGTTTTTTTAAGGCCAATAATTAAATCCCCACAGGAGAATTTGATGTTGTCTTGTTTCAACCTATTCTCTTGACCCATTAGTAGAAAATGATACAATTAAAGCATTTATAAGCTTAAAGTAGGTTATATAGATATCTTTCTTGATAGACTTGTTGATGTTTCCAAAGTGATTTTATATTTCATTTCACATTTTAAATTTTATTATATTTTGAAAACTCTCTATCTAATTAGATGTTTTGATGAACTAAAATCTCAACTCTAAGAATAAAATTTTATAAAAATTAACATTTCTAAAATGAAATACAGGCATACATGAAAATTATTGAAACTTCAGTCCTAAGTTTTCAAACTGCATATGAACTTAAAACAATGTAGAAATTCTTTAAAGAGCTATAATATGCATACAGTGTTTCTCTTAATGCCTCTTCAAGTACTACTGGGAACACTAAATAATAAATTGTGACCATAAAATTAAGTTAAATTTTCATCACATATTAGTATACATGTCTTACACACATACAGGAAAGATGAAGTTAATTCAAATACGGTAAGTGTACTATAACATTAAATTAATTTCAAACTAAAAAACTAAGTTAATTATTAAATCTAATTAGGGACATTCCATTTAATTTTTTTGCTTCACCCTTTATAATTTTTTATTTCATTGTATATTATTTTTAGTATTACATATTAACAGTTGATACACGTTTTATTCACTCAATGTTAAACCTGTCTTACTTTCTCTCATCCACCTAATGAATGAAATGTTGCTATAGATAAACAGAATTCTGAGTTGCTCTTTTCTTGAATTTGAAACATCAGAATCCTAGAATGGTCTTTTTATATATATGGTACAGGGTCTCACTACAGTGAGACTCAGACTCATAGTGATCCTCCTGTTGTCAGCCTCCCCAGTGCTGGGATTGCAGGCATGAGACACCAAACCCAGTCTCAGTGGCCAGCTCAGTGTGCTGTGCCAGGGATAGAATGATTTTTTGAGGCTCAAGTATTTCTGAAAATGTTTGGCTAACACCTAGAAAATATTGCAAATCAGAAGGGGGTGAAAAATTAATTTTAGATATAGGCTGAAAATATTTTTTATAATAAAAGATGGCGACTACTTTCTAGATAAACCTATATGTCTTCAGTTTCATTAAAAATATTAGCACTATTCATTAATATGTTTTGCAATAACAAATTACTGTTTTCTGAAATTAATTTATGGAAGTTAAATGTAGAAATAAAACCAAGACAAGTACATTACAAGATAAATGCAAAACAATAAAGATAGCCAAAGAACATTTACTAATTCATTTTCAAATGCCCACAAACAGTATGTATATATATATATATATATATATATATATATATTGAAATATACTAAGACATTTAATATATTACAAAGGAACAGTACAAGACTGGATTAAATATAACTATTATACACAGAAAAACTATGAAGTAAAATTTTTCCTATAACACTCAACAGATTTGGAAAGAATGTGGGGAAAATAAATACTGTAATGATGCAGATATGTGAAACAATACATTTTAGAAAAATTAAAAGGAAAATGTTTTAAGTAATACATAATTCATTTGATTAGGCCATGTTTTGTTATGTTTAACATTTGCTGCATGTTAGTGAATGACTTTTCTCTTGAATGCAACAAAACAAACCCAGATATTTGCTAACAACAATAATATATTCCAAATGCAGAGAAAACTTCAAAACTATTAAAATAGGATTTTAACTGTTAGAAATATATATTTACTTGTTATTAACAACATTGAAACTGTAACATAATCTTAAATTCTGACTCGTCACCCTAAACTCATTTTAAAAGTCAAACAAACTTAGTGAAAGTTGTACAAATATGAAAAAAATAGTATCCAACTGAGTTTTAGATAATTAACACATCATTTAAATTACACATGCAGATAAGAAACCATTTGGAAGTAATAGTTTTAAGTAAACAGTAACCAAGAATTCATATTATTCCAATTTAGAAGAAATTTGGATAAAGATTTAAGGAAAACACATAAAACTAGAATAATGAATTAATCTTCAATGCATAGTTATGCTCATCTGAAATTTCAGGCTAGAAATATTACTTGCAAATGTATAAACTTAAGAATGTATATTTTTGCCTTTATATATACATATAGATGAGTTCATATATTCTAATTTTTCTTCTCTTATATAGCTTTGATTAGACTGATAAAAGAGAAATGAAGAATCAATCAATAGCAGATTTCATTCTCATAGGATTGACAGATGACCCACACTTAAAAATTGTGGTTTTTCTATTTCTGTTTCTGAACTACACACTGAGCCTGATGGGCAACTTAGTCATTATCCTTCTCACTCTGCTAGATCCTCGTCTCAAGATGCCAATGTATTTCTTCCTACGAAATTTCTCCTTTTTGGAAATCATATTCACAACAGTGTGCATTCCCAGATTCTTGGTAGCTATTGTGACTGGAGATAAAACCATTTCTTATAACAGTTGTGCTGCACAATTATTTTTTATTCTTTTACTAGGAGTTACAGAGTTTTACCTCTTGGCTGCCATGTCTTATGATCGCTACGTGGCCATCTGCAAACCTCTGCATTACCCAATTATAATGAACAGCAAGGTGTGCTACCAACTCGTGCTCAGCTCTTGGGTAACTGGATTCTTAATCATCTTTCCCCCTTTGGTCATGGGGCTAAAGCTGCACTTCTGTGATTCCAACATAATTGACCACTTTATGTGTGAAACTTCACCTATTCTTCAGATCTCATGCACAGATACACATGTCCTTGAAATGATGTCTTTTGTGCTGGCTGTGGTGACGCTAGTGTTCACATTGATATTAGTGGTTCTTTCTTATGGTTATATAATTAAAACCATTCTAAAATTCCCTTCTGCACAGCAAAGGACCAAAGCTTTCTCCACTTGTACTTCCCACATGATTGTTGTCTCTATGACATATGGTAGCTGTATTTTTATGTATATAAAACCATCTGCAAAAGAAAGAGTGTCTACATCTAAAGATGTGGCATTGCTGTATACTTCAATTGCCCCTTTACTAAATCCCTTCATTTATACTTTAAGAAACCACCAGGTGAAAGAAGTCTTTCATGATGTATTACAGAAGATTTTGTGTTTTCAAGAAAAGTAGGTTTAATGACTTCTGTGGAATTTCAAAAATGAGAGAAACTTTTCAAGAGAAAGTAATTAAGAGTTCTTAGACCAAAAACAGACAATGTGTTCTATGGAATTTTAAGGATAAGTAAAACATTCCAAGTTAAAGTAATAACAATAACTGTTCTTAGTAGAAAAAAACTTCACAAAGAAAGAAGACTTTGTTATAAATATGTGCAAATATCACATGGGTTTCATATCATCTGGCATTTGGAAAGTAAGTGTAAGTGATGGTGAGAAAAGGGCTTTGAGATAGCTGACTGGTTTCAATATACACTTTGTTACATAGTTTTAGGATATTGCAAAGATTATACAGTTTTCATCCCTTAAATTTTTCAATATGTAACAATAGGAGAAAGGTAATTTATAATTCTTGTCCAATAAATATATGCTATTAGAATAGTTGGTCAAGGGGCTGGAGAGATGGCTCAGTGGTCTAAAGCACCTACTTAGAACAAGCTTAGCAAAAGCATCAGGGACCGCGGTTCAATCCCCCAGCACCACATGCCAGCCAGCCCTGCCCCCTGGTGGGCTGAGCTGGCCACACACTCTTTCTCTCTCTCTCTCTCTCTCTCTCTCTCTCTCTCTCTCTCTCTCTCAAATAAATAAATAAAAATTAAAAAAAAAGAATAGTTGGTCACTTAGTAAACTATTCTTGAAGAAATCAATAATGCAAGAATGTCTACAACTACTAATTGACCTACTGATGTCAATAGAGGAAACAATAAATCTGAAGTGGTAGAAGGATCAAAACACAAAGGGACATGGTAGCCAACTAACGTTCTGCACTTAAACCTGCTGTGTCAGTAACTTTCAAACATTCTGTTTTTAAAAACTCTAAGATAGCTTTATAAAATGATTCATATTTTTAATTATAATTATACATATTTATAGGGTGATGTATTACATTCAATCACTACTATATTTTTTGTAAAAATCATATCAAATTATGTAGTACACTCATGACCTCATATATTTATTATTTCTTTATGATGTGTCAACTTATTACTTTTAGGGCTTCTGGATCGAGATGTCTGTGATATTGCCAATATATCCCATGTTTCATACACACTTCAGGGTTTGAGTCCACCGTCTGGAAACAATGTTGATACTTCCAACTAGAAAAGTCATTAAAAATATATGATAGGAACACTCCCTAATTAAGTTAATTAGGAGCATTTTAGACTCTGTTTGTGCTGATTTTACTTTATTTTTCATTTTCAACTGGACTGCTATATTTGAAGTGTGACATTAGAAATGTGTAAGTCTCAGATCAATTACTCATTTTTCTTTAACCATTTTATTCTAAACTGTACAACAATTATAACAATTTTTATTTTGCTTCTGAATTAAGGCAATTCTTTTGTATCCTCTAAAGAACAATTTAATTCCCAGTTTAATTTTATTATAGTGTAACACGTATGCCATTTGATAGAATTATTGTAGTTGACAGCTCACAGAAGAGATATAGAGTCAAAGACAGCGACACACACGATGAGTTTGGAATCATACTAAAAACAGTTAATTATTTTCAGTGCCTAAATATTATGATATAAATATCTCTGTATGAATTTCTTCTCCACTTTCTGAGAACCTAATTTAAATCCTCATCCCATAAAGTGATGGTATGATTTTGTTTTCACTATGAAAAATGCCCTTTATATTAATCATTTTCTGAAGATACTCAGGTCTCATGATTTCAGAAAACTTTGCTTACATCATGCAACCAATAACTAAGGCAAGACTAATTATTAGTATCACCAATATATCATCATTTTTTTTGACTTCATCTTCTTCAGTAGTTTAAAATATTACATTTAAAAATTTCAAATGTAGGGGCGGGGGAGACGACTCAGTGGAATAAGCTCTTCCCTGGCAAGCGCCAAGGGCCTGAGTTCAATCCCCTGTTCTGAAAATAAAAAATTCAAATGTATTATCATATTGTTTTGAGATTTTATTAATGTATGAATGCAATCATCTTTCTTAATTCATTCCTTAAGCTCATATCATTATAGACAAAATCGGGAATATACTCTTTGTGGCTGCCACAGTATTTTTGTAGTTTCAAACTATATTCAATTTCTTATCTGCTCAGGTTTAGGTATTATAAGCAAATTATGATGAAATATTTGTATTAGAATACTATGAATATAGACTACTTTTACTAAATGAGATATTTTAGAATTCGTGTAATTTTCTTACAATCATAGGTTCAAATGTGTACCCTGAAAATTAAAGAAACAAATTAAATGCAATGGTCATCGTTTCAATATATTCAAGTCATTTTATTTTTTCTAGTAATTTTATTGAGAAACAAATAGCAATGAGACAGTTTCAAAACCGATTAGTAGGACACTTTCAATAATTAACAAATTGCATATTGTTGGCTTAGTGGTTATTCATTGTAAAAGATGCAGACATGATATCCTGTCCACAAACACATCAAAACAAATTTTTCTATCCAGTGAATTAAGAGAATGCAGTTGTGTATTTATCCTAACTATTTTGAATATACAGATACAAAATGATCGTTCATTTGTATCCCATTTTTTTGTTTAGTTTTGTCAGAGAAGGATATTCCATTGTCATTTAACTATGGTAGGTGTGTGAATTCAGCAAAGTATTCTAGCGTAGTCCAGTAGTCCATGATAGTAGTGGGTTTTCCATAAAACTGGCAATGTCAGAAGTTGTTGACTTGAGCTTTTTACAGCTCAGCATATTAATACAGCTTTACTTTTTATAATTTGTTTTTATACTTTTCTGCTGGATGGTTATGACCAAGATAAAGCAAGAACTATATCACAAGGAATGTCATTTTTGTAACCGACAAGATCAGTCAAATCCCCTCAGGATTAATCCTGAAACCCTATAACACAGTTTGTAGATCCTTTGTCAGTGTCAGCCATGTGGATGAGTTATGGCCATTGTTTGACCAATTTGCTTTCTGTGAAAGCCTGAGAGAATGTTTCCTTTCCATGTGACTCTCCTTAGGCACACTCTACATCATTGATCACTTTCCTATGTGTCCCCATTATCTCCTCGATTAGAAAATTTGGGACACAACTGAGTTACATGATGTTACAGCACAGGTTCTCCTATGTCCTGAGTCTTCACTAAACTTGAAAGGCTAGGGCCAAAATGCCGGCTGTTCTTGTAGCCCTTCTTTTTCTCTAATTTTTGGTCTCCAACTTTGGATTGTTAACCCTTCAGAAGAGAAGGTTATTATTATTACCCTACAAAATAGGCAGTTGAACTTACCATCTGTCTGAATATCAGACATCTGAGGCATAACATGGAACAGGTATATTCCATCAAGTAATGTTATGTTATACTTTAAGTATATACAAAATATGAAGAAAAAATTTAAAAAATAAACAATCACTTAAAAAATAGGAATAAACAAATACACATTTTTACACAGAAATTCAGAAATCTAACCATATGCAGCATTGTAGCAGGACACTCCTGTGACATATATTTTCTTGTCTCTTGTTTTCATTTATTACCCTTTTGTTTTTAAACAAACATTTACTTGAGAAATAGTATGGCAATAATTGGTATGTCATGACAAACTGTACGTATTAGAAGACCAGAATGACAGGCATTCCGAGCATTACCCTACCATTACAAATTGCTATCTTCAGTGCAAGTGCTTAGTTCACAGATATCAGCATATACAGTTAGTCAGGGTAAGAATCCTACCAATTATCTGCAAGTTTCCAAAAACATGCTGAAGATTCTCAGGATCATTGTCTTACCCATTTTGTGCAAATAACTATATGGCTTTGCCCCTGTCATGTTTCCTAGCTTTTCCCTTTGCCCTCTCTTCATTGTCTAATCCTCAAGTTCTCACTTTCCTTTTAATTGTGTTATAACTTTCTATTTTTATTACCTCTTCTTTTGAGTTCTTATACTAGGGAGACTATATGATATTTATACATGTGGGTCTGGTTTATTTCACTTATGAGTATATTTTCAAGTGACATTCACTTTAATATAAAAGCTTTGAGTTTACCATTCTTTATAGCTGAGTAATACTTCGTTATATAAAATTAAGACAAATTTTTCATTCATTCCTCTGGTGAGGGGCATCTTGGTTGTTTCCAATATTTGACTATCACAAGCTGTGCTGCAATAAACATAGGTACACATATATCACTATGATATGACGCTTTCAGTTCCTGCGGGAAAATTACCGGTAGAGAGATAGCTGCCTTGAATGGGATTTCCAGTCCTTGTTTTTAAGGAGTCTCCACACTGATTTCCATATGGTTGCAGCAGTCTACATTCCCACCAGCAGTGAAGAAGGGTTCCTTTTTCCCCACAGCCTCTCCAACATTTGTTGTTGGCTGATTTCTTTATGATAGCCATTCTTTCTGGAGTGAGATGGTATTTCAGTGTTGTTTTAATTTGCATTTCATGGATGGCTAGTGATGTGGAGTATTTTTTCATGTTTTTATTCGCTTCTTCAATTTTGTCCTTGGACAAGTGTGTGTTCATCTCAGATGTCCATTTCTGGCTTGGGTTTTTAAATTTTGGGGCCCTAATATTTTTAATTTCTTCATAAATTCTAGAGAGCACACTTTTTTCTCAGTGCTTATTAGTTAAGATTTTTTCCAAATTTGTGGATTGTCTTTTCACTTTGCCGATAATTTCTTTGACATTCAAAACCTTCTCAATAAGAAGAGGTCCCAGTTGTTAATTCTTTCAACTATTACCTGTGCAATTTGATTTTTGTTCATGAACTCCTTGTCTACTCCTATGTCTTCAAGAGTTCCTCCTACTTTCTCTTCCAAGAGATTTAGAGTTTCTGTTTTAATGTTTAGGTCTTCAATCCATTTTGACTTTAGCTTAGTGCATGGTGATAAACCTTGGTCAAGATTTAGTTTTTGGGATGTAGGGAGTCAGTTTTCCTAGCATCATTAGTTAAAGAGGCTTTCTTTCTTCCAGTAAGCATATGTGGCACCTTTGTTGAAG